ACAATCTCCTCGCTATAGGTGCCTGCGTTCTCGAGCCAGCCACTCACACTTGTGACATTGAAAGAGCCAGTGGATTTCTGGTATGGTGTGTAGGCTTCCAGTGAGTACTCTGCGCTCCTCTGTATTAAGCTAGACCATCTTCTCTTTGTCATTTTTCATCTTGGCATCCCAATAAATTTGGCATTGGCACTCAACAAACCATATATTTGGCTCCCCAACCACCGAATCAGGGTCGTAGCTTTGTGGCACCGGGAGTTCTCAAGAACTAGTGGCCTCATTAGACGAGGTAGCCCCATCCTTTGCATTGGAGCCGGTGGTGGAGCCGAAAGTAGACCCTGAAGCAGACCTTGAAGCAGAGGCGGCCTCAAACCCGGAAGAAGACACAGTCAGTGACCCTATCAGTGTGTTCTCCTCAACAGACTAGGAGGCAGTGACTACGTCGGTTACCACGTTCTTGGACAAGCTTCGTGTGGCCCGAAGTGTTGTTGGTGATGTCCTCACACTGGGGGGGACATATTAGAGATCTTTCTCCTTGCCGGTGTCTTTATTTATTAGCCGGAAAGTTGGCGCCACGGATTTGGATCGACCCTTCATAGTTATAAATTTCTTTTTCAAGGCCATGGTACCTGTGGAGAGAGAGAGTGTTAGTACCAATATAACCTAAAAACACACTCGAAATTTTTTTAGAAGAGCAAACCAAAACAAAAAATAAAAACAATTTTTTTGTAGAGACAATGGCTTCAGTGGCCACCTACGGTGGGTGTTACGGTCCGTAGGTTGACTTACGGTAAGTGGATTCTCTCCGTAGATCAGAAGTACGAAAAAGTTGGTCTCCGATGGGAACCGCGGATGTGTAGAACGATCCGTAGATTGATCTACGGACTATAGTCCACTTCTGTGGTTCCATACTTAGTGAAATTCTCATTTGCGACCAACCACGGACCTGATCTACGGTCCGTAGATTGACCTACGGCCTGTAGACATGATCTCATGGATGGGATTTGTACCAGGTCACAGACATGCTTCGATTGGAATCCCACATTTTTGCCATATTCAACAATATCCTAGTTTAATCATGTATTTCAACATAAATTATGCTAGTTCGTCATTCTAGGGGTTCCAATTACTCTATTTTATGGGTATTTTCTGCAAGATAAGGAACCCTAAGTTGAAACTTACATTTAGACTTATATTTAATTGTTTTTACATAGAACTTGGCAACACAATCACAATCTATCGTCCCAAGGGTGCATTCACTTCTAATTTAGCATACTATTTCATATTTTAATTTTCCCAAGGTCAAGACCCTATTTCTGACTTTCTATAATCAATCAATCAATCAATATAAATTCAAAGTGAGGGGAAAGTCTATTACCTTACAAACAGTGGGAGTGGGGTGATTGTGTGATGACTCGACGCTTTCAATACCACAACTTTTCCTTTACGCACCGAACCCGTACACCGGACCTCTTGGGGAGTTTTGAGGATGAGTGGAATTTGGAGAGAAAAGGAAATTTGGGATTGTGGGGTAAAGAAAGCGAAGATTAATTGGGGAGTTATGGAGTGATTTAAAGGATTGGGAGGTTTAGAAACGGTTTGGGAGTAAATGGAGGGAAGTGGGAATGATTTGAAATAGAAGGATTTTAAATAAAAGGGGTTCGGTTCGTGTCAGGTCAGGCAGAACTAGGGTTTGGACCCATGAGACCCTGTCTAAAGTCCTTGGGTCGATCTACGGTCCGTAGATTTGGACAGTAGATCAGTCTTAGACTTATAAAATTTCAGAGACTTACTTGGGATCTACGAACGCCATTCACGGTCTGTGGGATGAACCACGAACCGTCGATAGGGTCCGTAGACCGCTGCACCTAACCTTTTTCTGCAGATTTTACATTGCGCCCCTTCACATGTAGCAACCATTAGGCCCTTCTTTTTACATTTTCTGGACACTTTTTAGACACGGACCCTATGATATATCTAGCCAACACTAAAAACAAAAATAAAACACCTATTTAAATGAATACATAGAAGCAAATAACCAAAGAAAACTACAAAACATAAAGAAAAAACCTATCGTTGGTTAGAGTGTTCATCATGGGTTTCTTCCCAAGCAACGCTTGATTTAACGTCATGGCACGACCCAGACCTCTTGATTACTCAGACTTCATCAAGATAGTAGGCCTCAACAACTTCTTGCACACTCTCCGCATTTCCCAGATAGATTTTGATCCTTTGCCCGTTTACTATAAACCTTGTCCCTTCATTGTTCTCAAGCTCAATCGCTCCATGGGGGAGCACTTTTGTGAGAAAAAATGGCCCGGTCCATTTGGACTTGAGTTTGCCAGGAAACAAGCGCAACCTAGAATTGAGTAGAAACACAAGATCACCCACAACAAATTCTCATTTTTTAATTCTTTGATCATGATACCTCTTCATCTTCTCTTTGTACAAAGCTGAACTTTCATAAGCTTTTAGGAGAAACTCATCAGGCATATTCAAGTCATTCATTCTTTGATTAGATGCGGCGCCCCAATCCAAATTTAACTTCTTTATCGCCCACATAGCCTTATGCTCTAGCTCTACTGATAAATGACAAGACTACCCATATACAAGTTGGTAAGGATACATGCCTATGGGAGTCTTCTATGCAGTGCAATAGGCTCATAGAGCATCATCAAGCTTCCTTGACCAATCCATTATATTAGCAGTCATAGTTTTCGCCAAAATATTTTAGATCTCTCTGTTGGACAGTTCAACTTGCCTACTAGTCTGCGGATGGTAAGTAGTGGCTACATTGTGGCGGACACCATATTTCTCAAGTAGTGCCTTGAACAACTTATTACAAAAGTGGGAACATCCATCAGTGATAATCGCCCTCGGTGTACCAAATCTGGAGAAGATATTCTTTTCCAAGAATGCGGTGACACTTTTACTTTCATTGTTGGGGAGCGCAACTGCTTCCACCCACTTTGAGACATAATCGACCGCAACAAGAATATACTTCATCTCATGTGAACTCGCAAATGGCCCCATAAAATCAATACCCCATACCTCAAAAAACTCTATCACCAATATAGGATTCATAGGAAACTCTTGCCTCTTTGAAATCCCTCCTTTTCTTTGGCAATGATCACAACACTTGGCGAAATCATGAGCATCTTGGTAGATGGTAGGCCAGTAGTATCCACACTGCAAAATCTTATGCACAGTCTGAATACCACTATGATGCCCACCAACAGGCGATGAATGACATGCCTCAAGTACACTAAACATCTCAACCTCGGGTACACAACGACGATTAATCCCATTAGCACAACTACGATACAAGTAAGGCTCATCCCAAAAGAATTTTTTCACATCAATGATAAACTTTTTCCTATGGTGAAAATACAAATTCAGGGGCACCAAATTGCTTGCCAAATAATTAACAAGATCTACGAACCAAGGAATCAGATCACGAGAAGCAGTCAATACCTGTTCATCTAGAAAAACATCATTAATTTCAGCCCTATCACCAAGATTTAGCATAGCCTCTTCCTCTAATCTGGACAAGTGATCGAAAACTTGATTTTCGGTCCCTCTTCTATCTTTTACCACAAAATCAAACTCTTGCAGGAACAATACCCACCTAATCAACCTCAGTTTTGCATCCTTTTTCACCATCAAATACCTCAATGCAGAATGATCAGTATGCACTATGACCTTAGTACCAAGCAAGTAGGATCAAAATTTCTCGAATGCGAAAACCAACGCAATAAGTTCTTGTTCGGTCACAATATAATTCTTCTGGGACACATTTAAAGCTTTTCTAGCATAGTAAATAGGATGAAGAATTTTCTCTCTCCTGTGTCCTAATACTACACCAAGCGCCACTCCACTCGCATCGCACATTACCTCAAACGGTTGTCCCCAATCCGGTGAAATAATGATAGGTTTAGTAACCAACTTCTCCTTCAACTCTCTGAATTCTCTCAGAAAAGCATCATCAAAAGGTGGTCTTCTCTTGGTCTTCTGGGCTATAGAAATCTTAGTGTAGCCCGAATAACCATCAAGAAAATAATACCAACCCTTACCTGCAAGTCTATCCAACATCTGATCCACGAATGTCATAGAGAAATATACATTTTTTGTCCAAGCATTTAGCTTTTGATAGTCCATGCAGACTCTCCATCAAGTCATGGGACGCATCAGAAAAAGCTCATTTTTCTCATTAGGAACCACTGTAATCCCACCTTTCTTGGGAACACATTGAACAAGACACCCTCAACTATTATCTGCAATGGGATAGATAACTCTGACATCCAACCACTTGATGACCTCCTTTTTAACTACTTCTTGCATAGGCGGATTTAATCTTCTCTGGTGCTCAATACTACGCTTGTGATCTGGAATGAGTTAGATTTTATGAGAACAAATACCAGGAGGGATCCCAAAATGTCCGCAATAGTCCACCCTATAGCTCACTTGAACCTCTTTAATACAGAAACCAAACACTCAACTTGTCGGCCATTCAAATCTGCCGGAATGATAACCGGTAAAGTATAATCTTTTTCCAAGAATACGTACCTCAAATATGATGTTAGAGCCTTAAGCTCCAATTTCGGCACCTCTTCAACAGATGGTCTTACGGGTGGGGACTCATGATTTTTCATGTCTAACTCCAGCTTTTTTGGTTTCAAACGATATTCGTACCTATCAATTGCGGCGATCAACTCATCATATTCTTCAACACCATCTCTCTCAAAGTTCATCATAACCGTTGCTAGTGCCTCAATACCCAGTCTCTCTTCAATATGTACCTCAAACTCACTCTTAATTGTATATGTTATTGCGCATACCGATTGGAGCTCACAACTTTTCTTCATAGACCTATTGATCTTGAAAGTTGCCTTTTCATTGTTCAGTCTGAACTTCATCTCCCCTTTTCCATATCAACTAAGACGTGCCCAGTGGTAAGGATTGGTCTCCCAACAATGATGGGAACCTCAAAATCAACCTCACAGTCAAGAATCACAAAAATCCGTCGGAGAGATGAATGACTCCACTTTCACTAATACATCTTGGAGCTCACCAATAGGCCTCTTCACAGTTCTATCGGCCATGAGCAACTGCATCGCAGTAGATTTTGGATCTCCTAGACCCGACTTCTTGTAAATAGACAGTGGCATCAAATTGATGCTAGCACCAAGATCATATAACGCCTTAGCAAAATGAAACAACCCGATAGTACATGGAATAGTGAAGGCATCAAGATCCTCATTTTTCTGCACAAGGGACCTTGTACCAATAGCACTACAATGTTGCAATCTATCATCATCTTCGAATCTTACTGCCCTCTTCTTTGTCACCATGTCCTTCATAAATACCCACACATCTGCTCTAAAGCTTCTATCAATGGAACATTGATTGAAAGTTGTTTCAACATGCTATTAAACCTGCGGTATTGGCCTTCTTCAGTCTTCTTCACTAACCTCTGTGTGAAGGGACGTCGAGGTCTAGGTATGGGGACAACTTTTTGAGTTACGTCCGCTTCTTTCTCTATCGCATTCTCGGACTTTCCACTTACCTCGACCACATCATCGTCTTTACTATTCCCAATTTCCACCCCAGATGGCATAGGTGGATCAATAGTTTGCTTACCCCCTAGAGTAGTGACTTCCATACATTGCCCATCATTCTTTGGATTCTGGATGGTGTTGCTAGGAAGAGTGCCAGGTTGACCTGGATTTACTGTAGTTGACAACTGATTCATCTACTGCTCAAGATGCTTGATTGATACTGCATGGGCATCAACTTTTTGACCAATACGAGACAAGTCATTTCTCATCTTCTTCGCATTTTCATCAGTTGCATCAAACCTCCTTCTCATCTTTTGCATCATATCCTTAATACGTGACATATTACTTCCAGCTTCCTTTGGAACAAATTCCTAATTTTGAGGGGGAACATAAGATCCAACCCGATTATTTATGTTTCCATAGTTGTTCCAGTTGTAGTTGTTGTTGGGATTGAAGTTCCCATCCCGGACATATTTACCCTCTCGGTTGTAGTGGCCATAATTCTGACCTTGGTTTCCTTGACCTTGGCGCCAATTATTCATATTGGAACCTTGGGCATTTGGTCGAAAACCCCCCATCTAATCATTCACTGCATAAGCACCCTCTTCATAGTAACACTCCTCAACCGGTGGTGGATTCCTTGTCAAATAATTCACAGCATTTACCTTTTTCGCACCTCCGCTCACTTGCTTCAAAACCAACCCTAGTTCAGTCCTCATCTGAGCCATCTCCTCATGAATCGCATATGACAATTGGTTGTTTGTAGTTTGAATGGCAAACGTGTTCCTCCCAGTCTCCGACTTTCTAGTGCTCCAAGCTTTGTTATTCCGAGAGATCTTCCCCAGTTTCACCACAATCTTCTCAAAAGTACACTCAGCATATAAACCACCAGCAATAGTATCAACCACTGCCTTATTTTTGTCATCGCAACCTCGGTAGAAATATTCCTTCAGTGACTCATCATCAATACGGTGATTCGGAACGACTCGTATGAAAGTAGTGAACCTGTCCCAAGAACTACTCACGGACTCTCCAGGTAGTGCTACAAAATTGTTGAGTTTATCTTTGTGGTTCAGCTTCTTAGACACTGGAAAGAATCTTGCTAGGAATGCATCAGTCAATTGTTCCCATGTATAGATTGAGTTATAAGGAATCTCATTAAACGACACAGCAACATTGTCGGTCAATGATAAAGGGAATACTTGTAATCCAATGACATCCATGTCCTAGTCCGGTCGACCCGCACAACTTTTGGAAACACCACTTAGCTTGGTTACGTGCGCATATGGATCTTCGGATGCTAAACTCGCAAACAAGCCCCTTGCAGTAAGCATCTACATCAAACTGCTAGTCACCACAAATGTATGCCCCGAAGGTAGACGAGGTAGGACAAGAGGTCTGTCAGATTCAGCAGCGTTAAAGTTGACCCTATAGTTATCATGCAGTATTGGCCCTGGTTGATCATGTACCCTCATTGCATCTCTCAATAGATTCTCAGCTTGAATTTGATTATTCTCATCACCAATCCTCGGAGGCTGCAACCCAACAGCATCACCTAACTCTCCTCTGATAGGATTAACTGGAACTCCTTGATGATTCATTCTCCGCAAAGTTCTGTTAAATTCTAGATCGTGGGGAATAAGTTGTTCTACTTGACTACGTGTACTTGGCATACACTAGAGTAGGAACCTAAGAGAGACAAAAACAAAAGAAAAAGTAAAATTAGGAAATATTTGACTAAAGTTCAATAGAGTAGTTAAACTTAATCAAAAAGCCAAATTCCCCGACCGGGTTCACTGCTTCAAGTAAGTTTCTGTAATTTTTTTCTTGGTCTGGTTTTCCAAGTGTTACAATATCTCGCCCTTGGGATACTATATCCTTGAATGAAGACTAAACTTACTGAATTAGAGGGAATGAGCTGCAACCCTACCAATAAACACTGAGACTGATTTTCGAATGAACTGAGTTCCAAGAACATGCAAATACGCTGAAAAATACAAGTACAGTCTAAAGGAGCATGATGTTAAACTGATTTTACACATGAATGACTAAAAGACTGAAGAGGAACTATTACCTCTAGCTGGAGTGGAATCGGAGCGAAAGAGGTGGGGATACTTGGACTTCATTGCTACTTCTGCTTCCTAAGTAGCTCCCTCTACGGGCTGACTACTCCACCAAATGTTGGCTGAAGCAACTTCTTTGATTCTCAACCTTCTAACCTGGATAAAGAATCTGAACTGGTACATTCTCCACGACAACACTCTCTAATGGCACTACTGATGCTAGATCACTGACACACTTCTTCAATAGTGCAATGTGAAAGACTGGATGCACTGTTGCTAATTCTACTGGTAACTCTAACTCATAATCCACTTTACAAATCCGTTTCAGAATCTTGTAAGGGCCTACATATCTAGGACTGAGCTTCCCTTTGTTGCCAAATCTCATCACCATTTTCGTAGGTGACACTTTCAAGAAAACCCAATCATCAACTTGGAACTCTAGTTCCCTTCTCCTTACATCTTCATAAGACTTTTGGCGACTCTACGCTATCTTAAGTCTATGTTTACTGAGTTATACTTTTTCCATCACATAATGTACCGAGTCTGGCCCTATAAAGGCTGCTTCACCTACCTCAAATCAACCAACAGGAGATATAAACCTACGCCCATACAATGCCTCTTAAGGGGCCATATCAATGCTGGAATGATAGATATTATTATAGGCAAACTCAATAAGAGGAATGTGGTCATCCCAACTACCCTTGATGTCGATCACATAATCTTTCAACATTTCCTCTAAGGTCTGAATGGTACGCTCAGCCTAACCATCCATTTATGGATGAAATATTGTGCTAATATTAACCTGAGTTCCAAGACCTTTCTGAAATGACTTGCAGAAATGAGAGGTAAACTGAGGACCTCTATCTGAGATGATAGACAAAGGAACCCCATGCAACCTGACTATATCATTAATGTAAAGCTTGGCATGGTCCTCTGCCTAATCTGAAGTCTTGACCGCCAAAAAGCGAGAGGACTTAGTGATTCTGTCAACTATCACCCAAATGGAGTCATGTTGTCTGCGAGTACGAGGTAAACTTGTGATGAAATCCATGTTGATCACTTCCCTCTTCCATGTAAGAATGTCGATCTCTTGAGTCATACCCCCTAGTTTATGAAGTTCTACCTTCACTTGCTGACAATTGGGGCACTTAGCCACAAAATCTGCTATATCCCTCTTCATGCCATTCAACCAAAAGACTTCCCGCAGATCACGTTACATCTTAGTGGTCCCTGGATAAATATAATACTTGGAGTTTTGGGCTTCTGCTAGAATATGTTATCTCAACTCGCCCACATTAGGAACACATAATCGACCCTTGTAGCAAAGTACACCATCTCCCCCTTGGGAGAACACCTGCACCCTCTACTAATAGATTGTACCCTTTAGCTCAAGCAATATTGGATCACTGTCTTACTTTTCCTTAACTTCCACCGCCAAAGAAGATTATTCCCCATTCTGAATAATTACACCACCATCTGATATGCTCATAAGACGAAATCCTAAATGAGCATGACTGTGAACATCCTTCACTAGTTCTTTTCTTTCTTCCTCAACATGTGCTACACTACCCATAGATAGTCTGTTAAGGGCATCTGCTACTATATTCACCTTACAAGCCTTAGGAAATGAAGCCATCTACTGGCGAAGATTGAATTCTTTCAGGGTGAACACATACTGAAGGCTCTTATAGTATGTGAACACATCTACATGAACACCATATAAGTAGTGCCTCCAAATCTTGAGTGCAAACACCACCACTGCAAGCTCGAGGTCATGAGTCAAATAATTCTTCTTATGCACCTTAAGTTGTCTAGAAGCATAGGCTATAACCTTACATCGCTGCATTAATACACAACCTAGGCCGCCTCTGGACGCATCACAATAGATAACATAACCATCTGAACCCTCTAGTACAGTTAAAACAGGAATTGTAGTCAACCTATTTTTCAGTTCTCCAAAGCTTTTCTCCCAATCATCTGACAACTGAAACTTGACCATCTTCTGAGTCAACCTAGTCAATGGTGAGGCTATGTATGAGAATCCTTCCACAAACTTCTGTAATAACCCGTTGAACACAACAAATTTCTGATATCTATACGAGAGGTAGGTCTGGGCCATTCTTTTATTGCTTCTATTTTCTGGGAATCCACTCGGATCCTTTCGCTGGATACTATATTCCCAAGGAAAGCAACTGACTATAACCAAAACCCGCACTTGTTAAATTTGGCGAATAACAGGCGATTTTTGAGAGTTTGTAAAACAAATCTGAAATGACTCACATGTTCGTCCTCATTCCTAGAGTAAATAAGGATATCATCAATAAAGACGATAATGAACAAGTCTAAATACTGCTTTAACAGTCTGTTCATCAAATCTATGAAAGTTGCTAGAAAATTTGTTAGTCGAAATGACATAACTACAAACTCAAAATGACCATAACATGTTCTGAAGGTTGTCTTTGGAATGTCACTATCTATGACTTTGAGCAGATGATAACCCGATCTAAGGTCTATCTTTGAGAAATGACTAGCACATTGAAGTTGGTCAAACAAGTCATAAATCCTGGGGATGGGATACTTATTCTTCATTGTGACCTTGTTTAACTTCTTATAGTCAATGCACAGTCTGAGAGACCCATCTTTCTTCTTCACGAACAACACTGGTGCACCCCATGGAGAAATACTAGGTCTAATGAAGCCCTTATCTAGAAGGTTATTCAATTGATCTTTCAATTCCTTAAGCTCAGTTGAAGCCACCCTGTAAGGTGGAATACAAATATACTATCTGGAAGGAGATCAATTCCAAAGTCGATTTCCCAATTAGGAGATACTCCGAGAAGATTTTCTGGAACCACTTCTGGAAACTCATTAACCACTGGAACTGACTCAAGAGTTTGGGTTTCGGAGATTGAATCCTTAACCCGAACTGGATGGTATAGATAACCCTTAGAGATCATCTTCCTGGCCTTACAGTAAGAAATGAATCGACCCATAGGCGCGAAGCTACTACCCTTCCATTCTACGATTGGTTTGTCTGGAAACTGAAAACGAACAATCCTATTTCTACAATCGACTGAGGCATAACATTAATGTAACCAATACATGCCTAGAATGACATCCAAGTCTACCATTTCTAACTCTACAAGATCTGCTGAGGTCACATTCTGGGAGACTGTGAAAGGGCAATTTTTGTATACCCTTCTAGGTATAACTGGGTCACCGACTAGAGTAGAGACTTCAAAAGGTTCTAAGAGAGTTTTTGGACTAACATCAAACTTAACTGATATATAAGGAGTAACAAAAGAAAGAGTAGCACTGGATCTAACAAAGCATAAACATCGAGATCAAACACTCGTAACGTACCAGTGACTACATCAGGAGAATCTTCCTGACCCTGGCGAGCCTGGAGAGCATAGAGCCTGTTTTAGCGTTGTCC